AATAAACATTTGGAAAAAAATTTTTTAAAGGAAAACTTGATTGGGGCACCTGGGTGGCTCAGTCAGTTAAGCGTCCAACTTCAGCTCAGGTCACGATCTCACAGTCCGTGAGTTCGAGCCCCGCGTCGGGCTCTGGGCTGATGGCTCAGAGCCTGGAGCCTGCTTCCAGTTCTGTGTCTCCCTCTCTCTCTGCCCCTCCCCCGTTCATGCTCTGTCTCTCTCTGTCTCAAAAATAAATAAACGTTAAAAAAAAAAATAAAGGAAAACTTGATAGCATAGGAAGAGTTTTAATGTCCCAATTAATGGAAAATTATATTGTAATTTTCTTAAAACTGTTTAACATCCTAGTATACCATAGATTTATTACCACTGTCTTTACTTTAAAAGGTATTAATATCAGTGGACTAATTAAAAACAAAATATAACTCACCTACGCCCAACTCTCCTTTCCCAAGGCTTTATATTGCAGGTTTATGTACCCTTTGGATGGAAACCAGAAAAATGACTTTTTCTTGATTAAAAGAAATTGGCTTTTCTAGTTCTTCTAGAATAAACAGAGATAGGACAGGAGTATGTCAAATGGCTAATTGTGTTATAATTATAAACCCAGCCTTCAGAAGACAATAATAAAACCATGCCCGTCTAATCTAAACTGCCAAACCAAAATAAATTTCTATTTATTTCCAATGTCCAGGACAAAAAACACCAGTGCTTCAGTTAAAAGCAAACACACAGCATAATCATGTTGTTGGTATGATTATATAATTAATCCTATCAACTCTAATTAAACCTTAATGATTAAATCTCTGGAATTTTCTTCAGAGTTCATACCAGGCAAGAATTTCACCTGACATTATTAAATCATCCATAGAAAGTTTACAGTGACACCGTTAGAAGCTATGGTATATTAAGCTACATTAGACTGTCCTTGTTTGACTTTTTTTAGATAAAAGGAAAATGTAAAACATATTCTCAAGTTTCATAATATTTGCTGAGAATAATATAGGAGAAATAGTGGATATTACTTATCTATTGAAATGTAACAAGTTGAGTGCCATAAAACAACATTATCATCTTACTGTTTCTGTGAGTCAGGAATTTGGGCACGGCTTAGCTGGATCCTCCAGCCCTGGGATCTCTCACAAGGATCTTGGAAGGCTACAGTCAAGCTGTCAGCTGGGTCTGTAGCCATCTTAAAACATGACCTGTGGTGGGTCTATTTCTAAGCTCACTCCAGTGACTGTTGGCAGGGTTCAGTCACTCTCCAGCTGTCAGATTAAGGGGCCTCAGTTTCTCACTGACTATGCCCTCACTTCTCTGCTATGCCAGCATCTCCATAGCAGAGCTCACAGCATGGTGGCTTGCTTCATCAGTACAAATAAGAAGAGCCAAAGACAGAGTCTGTAGGCAAAACTAAAATCACGGACTTTTACAGCTTAATCTCAAAGTGACATCCCATCTCTTTTTCCTATTTTTATTTATTAGAAGAAAGTCACTAGATCCAGCATGCACCAAAGATGAGGGGATGATACAAGGGGTGCAGAGCAGGAGGTGGGAATCATTTAGAGCAATTTCAAAAATGGTCTACTATATGGTGCCACTATTACTGAACTTGTCTGAATTGAATAGTGTTCCCCCAATATTCACGTCCATCTCAGCACCTCCGAATATGAACTTATTTGAAAACAAGATGGTTGCAGATGTAATTAGTTAAGTCAAACTTAGATCATACCTGACTACAGCAGTCCCTTAATTCAACATGATTAGGATCCTTATAAAAAACAGAAGGTACACAGAAATACACAAGGAGAATGTCAGGTGATAACAGATGCAAAACTTGGAACAATGCATCTAGAAGCCAAGGGGTACCAAATATTTTCAGCAAGCACCAGAATCTATGAAGAGGCAAGCAAGAATCCCATCTTAGAGCTTTCAAAGAGAGCAGGGTCCTGTTGACAACTTGCTTTCAGATTTTAGCCTCCAGAACTTTGAAAGAATAAATTTCTGTTGTTTTAAGCCACCATGTTTGTCATACTTTGTTACAACAAGCCCTAGGAAACTAATAACTTTAAATGGGTGCTAATTTAAAGAATAATTCTATAGAGGATCCCAATAACAGAATTTTTTTCTTCTGAAGCAAACAATCAGATTAGACTAGGTAATATATAAATCCTTCTTTAAAGAATAAAAATTCTTCTTTATTACCATTGTTAAGCTATTTGCATCATTAATTACATTAGTTTTATGTAATAGATGATACTGTTTAGCTGAACATAAACAACAACTCCTGGGGTTAATAATATATTATTTGCTATATATTATATTTAGTTTTATACTTCATTTATTGTGGGGTGGACAGCCTTGTAGGTGGCCTCAGATATCTGCCTCCTACTATTTATATCCTTGTATTATCTCCTCCTGTGACTCCCTTCTAACTAACATTATATGGCAGAGGTGATGAGATGCCACTCCCACAATTACAGCATGTCATATAGGGTTCCATCTTGCTAGAGACTCTCTCTCCTGCTGGCCTTGAAGAAGCAAGTTGCCATGAATCCTACAGCTGCAAGTAAATGAACTCTGTGAATAATCTGAGTGAGCCTGGAAGAAGACTCTTCCCCAGACTCTTCCCCCAGACAACACTCCATATGAGAACATAGGCAAGTGGAAGCCTTAACTAACGCCTTGTGAAATCCTAAGCAGAGGACACAAAAAATGATATGCTCAGACTCCTGACCCACAGAAACTGTGAGATAACATATGTGGTTTGAAGCTACTAGGTTCGTGGTGATTTGATATGTAGCAATAGATAAGTAATGTTCAACTTGATTCTTTTGATTTTCAGTATCATGGTCCCCCATTTGAATTGTTATTATTGCCATTGGGTGAGGGGAGATGTTTTAAACTTCTTTTTAAATATTTTATTTTATTTATTTTTAGACTAGTTTTAGGTTTACAACAAACTTGAGAGGTAGGTACAGAAATTTCTTATATACCTCCTGCCCCCTATGCATGCATAGCCTCCCCCAATATCACCATCACTCACCAAAATGGTACAATTTTTACCAGGGATAAACCTACATTGATACACCATACACAATTTTTACCAGGGATAAACCTACATTGATACATCATAATCACCCAAAGTGCTTTGCTTAATTTAAGGTTGCTGTTGTATATTCCATGGGTTTATATAGATGCATAATGATATATATCCATCATTATAATGTCATACAGATTATTTTCACTGCCCTAAATATGCTCTATGCTCTACCATTATTTTTTTTAAGTTTATTTATTTATTTTGAGAGACGGAGATAGAGCGTGAGCAAGGAAGAGAGAGAATCCCAAGCAGGCTCTGCACTATTAGCACAGAGCATGACGTGGGGCTCAATCTCATGAACCATGAGATCATGACCTGAGCCAAAATCAAGACTCAGATACTTAGCCAACTAATCCGCCCAGGCACCACGGTCATTACTTTTTAATAACATATTTCTTTTAAACTGTCAACCATTTTATTATGAATCAATCATCTATTGCTAACATTCAACACTGAAAAGTAAAAATTTCTATAAAATTAAAAAGTCTTTTGTATATTTACTATTACTCTTAGTATTAAGAGAATTCTCTAAGATAGGAGGTGAATTGAGATTTTTGCTATAGGAAATTGTGCAATGTTAATATGATACTATCACATACCAAAAGAAGACTCAATTCTCCAGTCACTTATCCCAACCCTAATCACTCTGAAAAATCTAATCAGTAAGAACACATCATCATGTCATTTGGACTTTACTGAGTAACATATAAGTCATAAACATGAAGTCCTAGGACCATTTTCAGTTATAAATATTCTATCAGATGATCCATAATATACTTATTTCTGCTTTTATTATAATTTTAGATTATTTTATAAACCAAACTGCAAGATAGAAAAGTTCTCATTAAGATCAAAAATTATATCCAAAGACACTGAGATCTATACCTCTTCTTCTCACAAAAATAGTAGAATAAAAATAAGTAAAAGTGGTATTAAAAGGATAACTGGGATAATGTTAATAATATAAGGTTAACTTTTCTAATGAACATCATTTCCTACATTTGTTTCATTTATAGTTACCAGTTATATAATAGGCATAACTGCCCTTTGTCACCAGCTTGGTATGCAGATAAGTTCCAATCCTTTCCCTCAACCATGGGTGATTAGGCTCCTCCCATCCCCATCAGTTTTTAGTTATTCCTTAGAGCTTTACCAGGGTCCCAGGAATATCCCCATACGGTGTTTAGGCAAGAAGCTGCACTCATACCCATGTGGTGGCTTACTTTGACCTGGTCATCAGCTCTGGGCTGAGGTGCCAAATGGGTCCAGTCTCTGCTCCTGGTAACCCCTTTGATACCCACAGTCAATGTGTAGATCTTAGAACCCCAAGACTTTTTTATCCTTCTTGGAAAGATAGACATGGAAGGGCAGGTAAGAAAGAAATACCTTCCAACCCTCACTAAAGACTAGTCTATCACCCAAAGCCAGGCAAGGGGGTTCTTAATAAAGCATATAAAAAGAAAAACTTTCAGTAAAGTTTTGTGGGGTTTTTTTGGTGAGATCTTGTGTTTACAATATTAAACTTGTAGCAGCATATCATAAAGCTGACAACAAAACAATGTATGTTACGATAATGTACTTTTTAAAGAACTATTGCCCAAATACATGTTTATTTGGTGAATTTCAAAAAAGAAAAAACTTGATATATAGTGCTTAAATAAAGTCATAATTTCGTATCACCAACAAAAGGAACACTAAAAGCCTTCATTAAGCAATTTCATTTCCAGATATTTACCCAAGAGAAGTAAAAACACATCTTGCTCAGGGTATCTGGTTCCAGTCCGGCATATAAAGAGCTTGGAAATCGTCACTCTGCCATAAAAAGTAAGAAACTGGCCTGAAAATCAACAACTCTTCTTAGATCCATCAGAAAACTGAAGTCACAGGGCAGGCCTTGCAAAGAAGAACGCAATGTGCTTCAAAATGGTTTAAAATGGGATGTCTCCAGTCTTTACTGTAAGAACCTGGCAGAGCTCCTGGAGATAAACACACAAAAGTGTGGGCATGCCCAGCCTTGAACTGAGCCTCCCTGGAAGTCTTTACTCTCAGACTTGTCCACACTGAGCCTCCAGCAATTTGTCATTTACACTTTAGGATTTCTTTCTTACCCTGACACCGGTTCTCCCAGAGGTTTCTGCTCATGGGTTTCTGCTCCAGTGAGATGTGATTCTCTGTGTCCACTGTCTGGCTCTCCAGTTTTGGAGGACACAAGCGCTAAGTACTTTGTACATGCTATTCTCATTTAATCTTTACATCAGTTCTTCAATTCTGTAATTTTCCCCATATTACCATGACAAAATTGAAGCTTAGGAAGTTTCAACTGTCATTAAAATTTGAAGCAAAGCCAGGCCTTGAGCCTAGGCTGGCCCAACTCCAAAGCCTATGCCCTGAACCACCACCACACTGTATGGCTTATTATTTCCTGTCACAAGCCTTGGGATCTACCATGTTAGCTGTCTCATGGCTGGTGGGGGAATAGAAGTTGATGAGAGAAGACATGGGTGGCAGCAGCCTAATGAGGTAAGAGTTGTTATTTGATGTTACTTGTTACTAGATCTGCCACTACTTCAATGTGTCACTTTGGTTTGATAACTTCAGAAATAAAGGGAAGGAAAGTCAACAGACTGAATCCAGATTTTTCCCTTATTAGAATCTATTAATAGGCTCAAAGAGATCAAGGAACACTGAAATTTTGTGATGGTGGTATATATGTGTACATACACTAAGACATATGCATTTTCTGGGAAGACGATCCATGGCTTCAGACTGTCAAGCAGGTCTGTCAACCAAAAAGCTAAGATGCTCTCTAAGAACTCTTTCGACTCCAAAGTCAGCAAGTGCATCTTTCATTCTGAGTCATAATTCTTCCTCACCTTAATTTCTGTCCATTGTGGAGACAACTTGTTTTCCTTCCAAAATGTATACTGTAGAAGAAGAAAAATAATTCCACATTTTGAAACTTCATGCTTGAAAAGTTCTCTAGTGCATCCTTGTCTTTTGCCTAACAATTGCACCTGCATCTTTGAACACACACACTGGATGGGTACGTGCACGGTCATTTCTCCATCAACATTACCTAAGCAGTGGACTAATATGTACTTGTTTTCTCCATGAGAGGAGTTCTGGACAAAAGCAAACAAGCATAACCCAACCATTCCCATTGTCATATATATTATATAGTCACTGTGCCAATTTGATGAAGCCAAAAAAAAAATCTGGATTTTTTTTTTTTAGTGATTTTAAGAAACTTTTACAGACTAAGGTGGAAAATGGAACTCTCTTTTTCCTAGAAGAAAGTCTTCCTGTGTTCTGAGAAGAAATGTTTTGCTAAGCATTTTTCGGTCAGGCAGTTCGGACAGAATCTTCACATGTTTTCATAGAAACCCTGGAATGGGTAAGTGATTCAAAGGTAAGTACTTAACACTGGATTTGAGAAACATAGGCATTCCCTGGGGATTCTAAGAAACAACTAGGGAAGATTGTAGACATTAGTTACGCATATGGGACTTAAATGTGTCCACGGAGTCTTAAAAGAAGAGGAGTCTGTCCTGAAAAGACAGAAATATGAAAACAAACAAGTAGTGATATGCTGGTAAATGTTCAACAACAGGGTTTCCGGGAACGAATACTTAAAACCCTGATTTGTAGTGTGTGCTGATCTCTGAGAGACTTTCTGAGACAGTAAGAGTCAGAATCAACTTGGATGGAAGAACAAAAAGCAGCCCTGCAGCTAATCAGGCTGGAAGGACAGACCCATAGAGCCGGCTGCAAAGTTAACAGGACTAACTGTTTCTGTATGTGGCCGTCAAGCATCATAATGACCCCCTGGATGAGTGATGACTACTTTCTCAACAGTGACTCTCCCAGATGCCCTTTGCTATTTCCAACTGTAGGCTCAGTTGTTAAACCTTTCCACCCTCCTGGCAGCACACAACCTGTAGTTAATCCCTACCTCTCATAACCCTGTCCCAGAAACGGCAACCAATCCAGAATGGATCAGCTCTTCCTCTTCCCGTAGATACTTCTCAGAATCCTCTGTGAGGAACCCAGCACTGACCGACACCGGCTCCTCCCTTTTGTCAGGGTGACACTGCACTCCTATGCTGTTGAGTCGGTAAATCAGGTTTTGTCAGACTCCAGGCTGGAAGTTTTTGGCTCATGGGACTTTAATATTTTCGGAGTATTAATACTCCCTGATTGTCTGATTTTAAACCACCCATGTTATGTCTCAGAACATGGATTTGGGAGGAGATGAGAATAATCCACAGAATTAGATATAAACTGGCTCCTTGGCCCAGGTTACTCTCTCAACAACCATGGAACAGACATTTTTAAACTGATAGATAAGAAAACTGAGGCTCAGAGAGTTTAAATAAGTTGTTTAACGTCACAAAGCTGGGAGCAGAGCCACCATTTAAACTGGTGTCATTCTCCAATAAGCACATGAGAAGGACTTTAAGATTAGCTACTAGGAAAATGCAAGTCAAAACCAGAATTGGATACCACTTTATACCAATTAGGATGGCTATAACAAATGTAAATTGAAAATAATAAATGGTGAAATGTGGAGAAGCTCAAAAAAAAAAAAAAAGGAATGATATTTGTGTCAGAAAAAATAAATAAATAAAATAAAATAAAATAAAATAAAATAAAATAAAATAAAATAAA